TATTATTTTAATATAACATTAAAATCCCACTAACAATTAACCATCCAACTATTTCGAAATTAACTTTAGTTAACCGAAAAAACTCACTTGACCAAATTTATTTGTAAACAAGCACGCCCTTATGCCTTTTAATGAACATATTGAACCGCAAAGAAGTTCAGCGGCGGATCTAGAATTTTTTATGAGCCAGGGCAAAAATAGTTAAAAGAAAGCTTTCAACAAGATTGCATAGAGTACTTATATTAACAATTAAATAAATCGTTGAAACAATCGAGAGGGATTCTCTATTCAATTTACCTTTGACTCGATGCTCAAAATGAAATGAAGAACGGGGTCTGACTTTTTTTTTTCGCATTTTTATTATTAAGAAGTATATCAAAAATATTTTACGATCCATTTTCTGTCATTTTCTGTAATAAGTCATAAATGAGTCGTTTTGAAATATAATTTACAAATTTTAAAAAAGCCTAAATGTCATCATTTTAGTTTATGTTGTTTTATAAAGAGGCCCTTATGATCTTCTTACATACAAATGTAGAGTTTTGCAGCACTTTATAAGGGTTCGAAGTAGTCCACATAAATATCGACCTTCATTCATGTTTGTTAGGACTTTCAAATATGAACACTTGACTAATTTAAATTCTAAATACATTTTAAAAGTTAATAATATTTACATTTGTTATTATTTTTTATATATGATAAATTACATTAATCACATTTTCATAATCTATAATTTGACATTCATATCGTATATATAAATAAAAATAATTAAATTTAAATATTTATCAATTATAATTAAAAAATGATAAATTTATCTACAAGCTTACTATATGGTATAAGAAGCAAAAATATTGTAATATAATACCGTCGAGTCTGACAGGCGAGGTGTATCATTTTAAATGAAAAATAATATTACTTTGTAAGAATTATTTAAAATTTTAAAATTAAAACTTGTATTTTATATTTTTACAATTATTAAATATAATTTTTTTTAATCAACAATCAACATATGTTAATATATAAATTATATAGTTAGCAAAAGAAATCCAGCCTAGGCAATTGCCTAGGCTGGACCATACATGAATCCGCCCCTGTACACACACATATACTATACTTTAATTGAACTGTTAGNTTTTTTTTTTTTCTATTCTATTAGCAAATAATATTAATATACTATAAACAACAAATATACTAATAATTCTCAACAAATCCGTTTCTATTTGGTATTTTTTTTCCTTCTTAAATAAGGCAATAGTTTCAGTTACATAATGATTGCAGAAGCATGGTGAGTTGCCTTTTTTGGTTTAATTAACGTCTTAGGGGGAGTAAAACATATCCAGTTCGTTTATTTGGTATTACATTTTTCTTGTCTAAATTTGATTGCCCTGGATGAGGGCCGTATAACAGTACTTTGGCCGATTGATATCCAAATTTTGGGCCACAATCTTCAAGCCTTAAATAACTTTGGGCTTTTCAAATTTCCCTCAACGGCCCATTTTTTCTTATTTATAATTCTCTACATAGGCCATTCTTGTTCCGGCATTGAGGTGTCCAATATCGTCTTGCATGTATTCTTGTTCAGAAGCCACATCGCTCACAGAAATACTGCAATATTCTGAACATATATCATAAAAAATACAAAAATGCGAGAATCTATCCAAATAATAAATGAGTTGAAAAATATATAAATGTGACAAAATTAAACATATAAAAATACTGTAATAAATACGCAAAACACGCAACCTATTAGAATTCCCAAAACTAAATGTTTGTCCTCAAGCAATTTATAAATAAAAAGCACATAGATGGACCAATAATAAAAATGTGGAATTATACCTAGGACCTCACAATTCGCTAACTAGTACATAGCTCAAGCTGTTTGTATTAATTTATTCAGACTCAAGACGAAATCATTCTAGAAACGCAAGCACATTTAGTATCAACTCAAGTGACCATCATAATATGTCAATCTCTATAATGAATGTATCGACCAATGCAATTAGTGACACCCTCAAGTCTAGTTCCCTTTCGTTTCTAGCAGAAGTCTAAGTGTCTCATTCTCCACTTTATTTTTTCATTCTTTTTTTTTTCCTGAAATAGGGTCCATAGAGAACAACAGCTCTGCACAACCCGTAGGCTGCAAATCATTCTATAAAGAGTGAATCAACTGGTGTTCTTGCGTCGTCCCTAGAATGCTTTTTATGGCTTTTCATAGGAGTATCATGACACTTGGTGTGTTCCAACCCATATCTCTTTACCAGACTTCTTGCATACTTAGTCTGATGTAAAAAGATTTCATCCTTAGACTGCTTGACCTGCAATCCTAGAAAATACTGAGCTCACTAACCATGCTCATCTCAAAATTCTTTGGACATGTGTTCTATGAACTCATTGATGCGAAATTTCGAGGTGGAACCAAAGATAAGATTATTGACATAGGTTTTAGCGTTTTGCGCTTATCTGGACACAAAAGTATCGCTTTTAGTTTTTCATTCTTCCATCCATATTGTTTCATTCTTTTTTTTTTTTTCGTCATAAGATATCGAAACCTCGACATTCCACTTTGTCCCCAAACATAATGACCGTTGATTAAGACAATTACAAATACATCTCTACATGACAAACATTGATTAAGACAATCGAAGACATAAAAGACGAATTATTTGCAATATTATTATTAACTTAAACAAGATAAATAATAACATTGAAAAATAGGTTGTTTATAACTTTTTTATGTCTATTAACAATTTAAAATAAATTGAGTACGAAATATATATAATTTCAAAAAGAGTAAAAAAAAATGTGACATTGTATTAGATTTTTAGAATGGGGAAGAGAGTGCGGTACCACTAGATGAAGCGCACCATAAGAGGGTGACCCTAGGTACACCTTAGTGAAGTTCCATCCCAAAACAATTGGTGATGGGAGGAGTAGTCCACTAGATTTATAATTAGACTAATTTACCCTATAGAATCAATGTGGGACAACTCATAAGTGATATCCCAAGACATTGGATCTTAATATTTGAAATACCACTCTAGAAACAAAAAAAATGTGATGTAGGGAAGCATACGAATGGGAAGGATAAACGAGATACTCTCTCGTAAAACAGACAAAACTCACAATATCTTATTCAATCTAAAAATTCACCAAGTAACAATAAAGCAGGAGAGTCCTTTATGACTCTCAAAACTAATAACCCTAACTTGTTTTCTAAGCTAACTACTAAATATTAAATAATAATAATAATAATAATAATAATAATAATAATAATAATAATAATAATAATAATAATAATAATTATTATTCTACACTATTCTCCCCCAGTTCGAAAGGCTTCGCCCTCGAAGCCGACGCACTCCCGTGGCAGGTGTGGAGGCGAACCCATGGTAATAATCCCCGTCCTTTTTTCCTGTCGAACATGAAGGTTGAATGTCACACCTCCATGGTATCACCCCCTTGAAATTCATAGAAAGGCATATATGCAGCAGCCACACACAGAATTTTGAAGTCACCATGGTGACAAAAAAACAGCATCTATTTGTAAGGCCGCAACAAATTCCCGTGAGAGAAAAGCTCGGGCTTGTGCAACAGAAGAACTACCAATTCTTCCAACAGCTGAATTTTGATATTCGGAACATGATGGAATTCCTCCGGCCCCAGAGGCTCCTCATCGAAAATCGACGCACCGTCGTAGAGACAGTCCACTTCACCGGTAAAACTCTCCTCCACCTCCTCGGGTCCTTCATCAAACACCGGCGGACCATCATACAATGACCCATCAACTTGCTCTTCGTCAAATTCGGGGATGTCAACGCGAAACGGGCCCTCCCATCGACCATATTCTTGATCACATTCTCAATCGCGTCGGGCACAATATCCGCCGGCGACGGCAACCTCCTCGAACCTGCCTCTATCGTCGCGTTGATCGTCGCCGTCCACGAAGACCGGGCCCCGTTGCCGCATGTCACGGCCGCCGTATGCAGCAAAGGGGTCAGCCTCGACGCGTGAGGATGGAAAATCGTCGAAGGGATTCACCTCCGAGACTGTCTCCTCGCCGTCTTCGTCGCCGGACGGTGGTTGTGGAGATCCCCGGCGGGGCGCCCCGCCTGGACCACGGCCTCCACGTCCTCCGTGAATTCCCCCCCACACGCCCCGGTTGCCGGCGTCACGGTACGTTTGCTTGTCCCGAACCATGGTACGGATAGTTAGACGTATGTCCCTGATCTCCGCGGACAGATCTGCAATCTGACGACCCATCGTCTCGAGCTCGCGACCAAACCACTCGGTCCGACAGCTCATGTTGTAGATGGCGGCGACACGACTGTCGTTTGCAGCATCATGTCTTCGCGACAGCATCGTGAATCATGCTGACTTTTGATACCAACTGATGTAGAGAAGCGTACGAATGGGAAGGATAAACGAGATACTCTCTAGTAAAACATACAAAACTCACAATATCTGATTCAATCTCAAAATTCACTAAGTAACAATAAAGCAGGAGAGTCCTTTTTATAAAACTTTCTAAACTAATAATCCTAACTTGTTCTTTAAGCTAATTACTAATTATTAAATAATAATAATAACAATAATAATAATAATATAATAATAATAATAATTATTATTATTATTATTATTATTATTATTCTACACCAAAATGTCCATAACCAAATTTACATAAGTTTGGACCAAATTTGTAACTCAATATATTATATGGACAAATTTCACAATTTTAACACTTTTGTCTGAACAGAGGGATAAGGTTTGATGTCAAAGATGCTAGATCTATTAAAATTTGGGATCAACCATGGATTCCAAGTCTCAGAAATTTCAAACCAACAACTCCTAAGCCAGTGAACAGAGACTTGAATTTGGTGAAAGATCTGATGGATAGTACAGGAAGGCATTGGAATGTTGATCTATTGAAAGAAATTTTCACTGACCAGGAAGTGAAAGCAATCAAGTCTATTCAACCTCTGAAGCCTGAAGAGAAAGATAGAGTATTATGGGACTGGAATGCTAAAGGGGATTTTACTGTGGCCTCAACTTACAACAGACTGGTGTGGGAGAAATGGCGCCAAATGGATAATGCAGAGTGTAGTTTGGAGCAGAAAGTGGGGCGAAGGGTCAGAAAGAAGAGCTGGTCACTGAAAATCCAAGAGAAGGTGAAGCACTTTTTATGGAAATGCTACTCCAACATACTGCCAGTTAATTATAATTTGTGTAAAAGGGGGATACAAATGGATGTGATTTGCAAAGCTTGTGGGGAAGGGCCTGAAACAATAGAGCATCTATTTTTCCAATGCATCAAAGCTCAGAGGATTTGGGAGAAGTCACCAGTCACTTGGGATGGCATACTCCAGGAGACTATCGATTTCAAAGGTTGGTGGAACTCACTGTGCCTAATGAAGAAAAGCCCTTCAACTGATGACAGACTCCAACTTACCTCGTATCTGTTATGGGAAATTTGGAAAGCTCGTAACCAATGTGTTTTTGAGAAGGTCAATCGACCGGCAAAGGCAGTGGTGCAATACGCTTTGAATGGCTGGCTGGAATTTTCAGGCAAAGGATCAAACTAAAATTGAAGAACAACTAGGTTCCTTTAGTGTTCAGTGGTTGCCTTTTAAATTTTAAATGCTCCTTTGTTTTATGTTTGATGTTTTTGTAATCTGTCCGGTTACTGCACTTAGAAGGTTGGAATTGAAACTGTGGTGTTGGGTAGTTGCTGTAGCTTTGTCTCTGTTACTCGATAGATGATTTGTGTTAGGTTTCTAGGAGTTACCCGATAGATGATTTGTGTTAGGTTTCTAGGACACCTTTGGTGATCCTCCTGTGTAGGAGTTTGCTGCATTTGGGCTAGTATGCCTTCGAACCTTGTACATTCATTTTAAGTTTTAATCCATCTATCGTTTCGTTAAAATTACAACAAAAAGCATAAAAAATATTGTTGCGATATTTAAAATCAAATTTGTAATTTTCTCATCAAAATATTTTTGCAATATTTAGAACCAAATTTATAATAAAATGGACCAAATTTGTAATTTCCTCGTCAAACTTTATATTATCCTCGTTATCGTAGTATAATTCAATTTACACCTCGAATCACAAAGTTGAGATAAACTAGAAATCCAGAGGTCGTGCACAGCAGCTATCAATTTTTACTTTTACTGCTTACATCTTTACGCGGGATTTCTCTCTCTACACCACACTCTACTTGGGTTAGAGAAGAGAGAGAGAGAGAGAGAGGGAGATGTCGCATAACGGGAAATTGATGCCCAATCTGGATGAGAAGACGACCAAGGTGCTTAATCTCACAGTACTCCAGCGAGTAGATCCTTCCGTGGAGGAAATTCTCATCACCGCCGGTCACGTTACCTTTTACGAATTCAACATCGACAACAGCCAATGGGTATGCTCATCACAAATTGCAAGCATATACATCGATATTTGTATTGTTTAAGCTTTTTTTTTTCTTCATTTTTCCTTGATTGATTATGGTTTTCTTTTTCTTTTTCTTTTTTTTTCCTCCCCTTATTGGCAGAGCCGGAAAGATGTAGAAGGTTCCCTTTTTGTAGTGAAAAGGTGAGGGCTTATGTAGAGCATTTAATCTTTTCCTCCTTCATTTGTGTACTAAACTTACTTGTAAGGACTCAAGAGTTCAGTATCTCTGTTGCTTTGGATTTTTCGTCAGGAAAAATTTAAGGGTACTAATATTCTTTTTCTCGCAATTTTTTTATTTATTTGATTTTTGGGTTCAGGAATACTCAGCCACGGTTCCAATTTATAGTAATGAATCGTCGGAACACCGGTTAGTCATTCAATTACCTCATATTTTTTCTCTATTTTTGTTGGAATTGAGAATGTGGTAACATGTTCCATATACATTTCGTTGTGGTGCATAACCGAGTAGTAGCAAAATTACTTCTTGTTTTATGCTAATGTTAACTTATCCTTATGAAACGATATTGGGGCTAATTTAAACTTTGGTACCCAAAGTTAGACAGTATTTCATGGTCAGTACTAGTGATTCCACAACTTTCACATTTTGTAACCAAAGTTTGAGAAATGCATCAAGATTCAATACTCATAATTTGAACGAGAAATCATGTTAGGGTAAGTGAATCTGATGCATTTCTCATACATTGGATATCAACTTGAAACTTGTAAAACAATGAGTAATGGCAATAAAATATCGCCAAGTTTGGGTAGCAGAGATGAAAATTTAGCCAAGATTTTATCTTTAACCAAATGGGGTGGAAGTTCTGGACTTCTCTTTGAAAGATAATAGAATTTAAATGTATCGGTTGGAATCAACTCCTGAAGTAAGTAGTCTCCTTGGAATCTGAGATTTGACTTAGTTAGTTAAAATCATTTTTAACATTTCACCGATAGGGCAAGCTGAAGATTTGTATTGTTGTTATTGCAAATGAAAAATTACATAGTTAGAGAATTTGAAATGTGTTCTTTGACTGCATAATAGTGAATGAAACTTTACCAAGAACTGTTGAAGGCTGTCTTAGCTCCAGAAGAAAGTTGGGCAACACTTATTTGAGTGCATAGTCTGAACCCTCTTTCCATAGAATCATATTTAAGAATCAAGACAACTATTTTTTGTTTAGAATTAAAAGCACCTGACCGTAGGCAATATAGAGGTATGTCCGCAGAAAGAAAGACTACAACTTTGACCAAATAAATAAATCTTGAGATGCATATCCTCTGGGGCAACTACCTTTATAGTGGATAAAAAGAACAGAGAAGCAACTACTTCTTTTAATTGCAATCCATTTGGATCAGGGTTTTTTAGCCTTTCAGGAAAAAACTATAAAACAGGGGAAATGGTTTTTATGTGAAAAGAACACTCAGAATTGTCCAAATAATGCAAAGAAAGATGCATTTCAATCCATTTATATTAAAGACGTCTTGTTGCTGTTAGCAGATAATCTGGTGGAGAATCTATTGGGAGATTTTGAGTATGAAGTGCAGGTTCCATATCTATTATATCGAAATGCTTCCCAAGAGGTAAATGGAATATGGTTCTATAATGCACGAGAATGTGAAGAAGTTGCAAACTTATTTAGCAGGTTGGTTAATATTTGTTTCTCCTCTTTTTTCTTGTCTTTTGAGCCTGGATTTTTCATGAAATTTGTGGATAGTAGAAGATCTCTTTAATGGAAATGCACTTGGGGCCATATAATATTTTTTAACAGAATCTTTATAATGCTTCTTGTATTATTTTGTATGTTCAATTTTTCTGTGGTAATGGGTCATGTAATCAATAGTCGGTTTAATTGTGGTTCTCTATCCAGTAATTTCACGTGTCACCTTTTTGTATATATTATTTGTGACATGCCCGGGATGCTTTGCTTTCGTTAATTCAGCTTCTGTTTTTTTCTTATTTTTTTCTTTTCATTAAAATATTTCTTTGTTTTATTTGTAGGATACTTAATGCATATTCCAAGGTGCCTACAAAATCAAAAGTGTCTTCTACGAAAAGGTAATTCCACGTTTTATCTGACTAAATTCAGAGTTGCTATCAGGATTTTCAGAGTTGTTTTACTGAGTAGCAATTAAAGTGGTGACTACTCCTTACTTAACCAGCCTCATACCCATTAGGACTATAGTTGGGATTTGTTTTCAGTAGCTATTGTTTGGAGTTGAAACAATAAAATTATGGTTATCTCAAGAGTTGTATGTCCAGTGCGTTTTTACACATTGGGCCTGTTTTTCAAGTTGGTTAAAGTTAAGTAGCTAATACAATCATTGAACTGCCTCTTTTAAGTTATACACTGTAGCTCTGCGTCTGTAAGTGGGTAAAAAGGGTATGTGATGAACTTGACGTCATTAATTTCGTTTACTGTCAAGACTGTCAGTTTGGCTCTTGTGATTTTATAGGTAGTCTGTTATGTCCATTTTTTCATTCGTAGATAGTCTATGTGATGTCATTTTCTGATTTTTGTAGATGGTATATGTTACGTTCTTTACTTGTTTGCCGTATTGTTTATGCATTTTCACAAATGTTGGATAATCTTGTCATTGTCAGATACATCCTTGTAGACACTATTAAGAACTTTATATGCGAATGCCCCTCCTCTGTCTCTACACACACACACATACAGATAAATTTTACAAATATTATTTTGGCAGTGAGTTTGAAGAGCTGGAGGCAGTTCCTACATCGGCAGTAATAGACGGTCCTCTGGAGCCACCATCTTCTACCACATCCAATATCACATATGTCCCTAACGACCCTTCTTTCCTGAACTTCTTCAGTGTAGGATCTCTTGCCATTCTAAGTTTTTCCTGACTTTATCTGTGTTATTAAATCTTTCATACTTACTGAAATAAAATTGTTAATGAAAGCCTGCAAAGACTTGATTTGATCCCCAAAGAGAAACAAATCCAATACGAAAAA